AAACACTGAAAGCAGTAGGAAAGCAAATATGGCTGAAAGGAAGCGACCAAGGAAAGCGTATATAATTTGTGTCTCGAGGCGAACTCACCGTTAACGATATAAATCATCAACAATTAAGTGGATATTTGCATATGCATAAAAGCGAGCAAAGGCATACATAGACAAATAAACAAATTATATACTGCGTGAAGAGAGACAATCAGTATTAAGCGCATCTACCGTATATCTATGTGTGTGCACAACGCAAAGAAAATAATAAAAAAAAAATATATATTTTCTTGAAAAAGCAAAAAAAAAAAAAAAAAAATACACAAACATTTCATTTGTTCCTTTTTAGCGAATACACATGCACATGTGATGGGCAAGTATGCATACAAGCGTATGTGTATTTTATGCAATCAGCATAACATCTGCAAACCGTTGTGACATTTTTCGAATTTACACAACATGTTTTCCCATTCAGTTAACAAAAATAATAAACGTTACACGAAAAATTCATACACAATAGTGGCAGTGAAAATTTCTTAGTGAAAATTAAATTTTGAGCGCACAGCGAAACATATGAAAGGAATTGCTACAAATAGCGAGATTCGGTTGCGTTTCAAAGGATATGTCGAAAGCATGCGAATATTATTGAATTGAATGTTAAACGAAAATAAGTAATAATATCGATTCGTATGCGAGCAAAGCAAGCATACCATCAGCATATATGTTATGAAAATTTTGTTAAAGAAAATCAAATAATCATTCGCACAAATTGGCTCACTCACTGACACGTGCTACGCTGGGCTCGCGTATGAATATAATCTTTGAAAATTTAAATATTTTTATTATATGTATTTGAAAAAATAAAAAAAATTCTTATTAATGATTTCAATAAAAATCTTCCCCTCATCATTTACTGGCATTATGTTTAAAACATATGTCCGCAGGAATATTTTTTCCTTGCATTCATATGCGTATTTAAAAAACAGTTAACTGCATATATGAATTTTAAGATAAAAACTCTTCATTTTCTCATTCCATCTCTTACTTATACTATTTATATTCGTATGGGTTTGTTTTTTTCCAACATTTGAATGCAGACAGACAAACAACCCAACGTACAAAAACTGTCGAAAAAAACAAGTAAGTTTAAGTCGCAACTTTATTACCTCTCATCGCTCGCTAACGATGTAACAGTTGTATCATCCCATAGTTTCATCAAACCTTTGTTAGTCAAAATTGGGAATCAATTCATGATCAAAAGGAAATAACTCAGTGAAAGTTAATGCGTATCATTTTAATCGATTGTAATCCATTGTATCATTTTCATAGGCCTCATCCAAAAGACTGTCTGGCGCCATTTTGACAATTTCGCGAACAAAGACATACAAAGATAGTCTGACTCTACCAGTTCCTGGTTATATGCAGAAGTCTCAAAGACTGCCAACCAAGCCCTTTCGCTCGCTAGCTGTGGAGCTTTAAGGAGTCAACGTAAATTTTATAGCTTCCCATTATATACGTTGAATGTATGTCAGTATGTAAAACATTAAACAAAGGAAATGTCTGACGCATCGTCGATCAATTCTGGATGATAATGGCAGCATGCCCATAGCAATGATTTATTGAACCATCTGCCGATGGGCCTTTTAGCTATTACGTACTCCCTCAGCTCCAGCATTCGGTTTCTCATTAGTTGCTTTTTAGCCAATCAGCGCCGAAAGGTCACATTTAGAAAGATTAGGGCTACAGTGCTCTGGAATAAAGGCGGGATCGTACATATTGACATATCAGCGACACAATAGTCATTAAAAAAATAACATCGTGTAATTCCTGCATAGGCACTTGCTTCTCCGCCGCGGAAGCACTACCACCGAAAACCTCAGTCCCTTCCTTCTGATCTTCTAAATACAAACACTTCAATTCACAGTGTAGATCTATTCGCCCACGCTACGTTAAACTGTGTGCTTCCAATTATATCTTCAACTCACCTATTGCCCACTCCATATCCACTCATATATAAATATCACTTCAAATGCATCAAATTTAAAATTTGTACTCCTAATGGAGGCTGTCAGTATTGCAACTATTTTCCATTTCATTATACGTTTAGCTTAATTGAATGTTTCACATTTTTCTATACCTGGGAGAAACACCTAATCGAACGATAAGGTAAATGGGCATTACCTACAAGTTAACAAGGTTAACATACTTTCCCATACATTTCATCGACAATCCAAACAGTTACCTCATCCTTATATTCTACTTTATACCCTTACTTCAACTGGAGTATAAAAAAGGCGATCATTTAAATTTCGGACGCACACAAGTGCCTCTCATAAATGTATGAAATTTTATAGGATGGTCAAAAGCATGTGCGATTGCGGAAAAGAAGTGAAAAATATTTTATTATTTTTTATAAAATTTAACTTCGCTATATAGACAAACAACAAATAATATCTTTTTTTCGGGCCTTAATAAACAAACGAAAAACATACTATTAGTGGCTGGTGATTTTTTTTATTTATTTATTATGTTTTCTTTTTTTTTTTTTTTTTGTTGAGAAGCTCACGGTTACTGTGTTTTAAATTTACTTTCGAAATATAAAATATATATAAAAAATCCTTTTTTTTTTTTCAATTTTAATTTTTATTAAATAATACATGTGTGTTTAAGGATAATAAAAAATGCATATCGAATGAGTTAGCCCACTATAAGCAGACGGGTCTGATTATTCGTCACGTTACCGCGACTTCAGCTAGTGGAGAAGTAGTAAAGAAGAACCAATCATTTAGTGCGGTAACGGTTAGATAATGGTTACAGAAGCGACTGAAAGTCGAACCAAAAAGGTTTGACGCGGAAAAGTAAAAATAATATCTTTTTTGCATGAAAGGCATCAGAAAGTCAACAGTGAGTGTAGTAGGATGGTACTCTTTTTCTGTACATCACCCTGATCCACTTAAGCCACGATGCTCTTTGACATTTCCGAGCTGGTTGGCGACTCCAGTCGAACTTTAGGATCGAGATGGCCGCTATGGAAATTCGACTTTACCTACTTTCCTATTCAGACATCCGCAAGGAAGAATGACCTTGGCTACGAAAATATCCACCCAACTTCCGAACACAAGGCACGAATGTAGCACTTCGTTATAGATGTACGGCTCAATATCATTGAAACTCGTAAGCCCTAAGGCTCCTCCTAAACTCCTAAGAAACTCCTAAGGCCAAGATGAAAATCAAATTTTCAGAGACAATGACAGGAGAGCGACTTTACTTTGCGACTTTGAAAGTCTACATCAGTCAGTGTTATAAGCTACTCTAATATAAAGTAAATTGAACCGAAACGGACTGTAAGCGAAGACAATTTTTCCTTGCACTGCGAAAGGTTTAATAAATCAAAAGTGAAGTTGTCAGCTGGGAATCGCTGCGCGACCTATGCGGCTACAGTTCTTCTTGGCGTGGCATCAGCAAATTGTGAGACAGATGGGAAAAACGTACGTCAAATAAGTTCATTTTTATCATTTTCATATATCCGCCTGAGTGGCCGAGTAAGCAAGAGTCTCGACTAGTAACTCAATGGTCGTGGGTTCAAATCTCAAATGCGGTAGAGCTTTTTAATAAAAACCGAAAGTCTTAGATGCTAGTGCTTTAAGACTTTTTAGTCTTCGAATTTATTCTCTGGCTAAATTTACAACAATAATAATATCATTTTCATAATATGTACAAATTATACAAGTATGTAAAAATTTGTTCTTCATATATTAAAATCCATGGAAAATTTGGGAGTGACTTTAATAATCTATGGGGTTTGAGTACAAAATTGGAATTTGGAATTGGGTACAAAAGCTCTTATGGTATAATATATCGGAAAAACTTTTAAGTTTCATGTACATATTTACCTTAAAGGGGGAGTGATTTAAAATTCGCCTTTTCAGTAACATTCTATCTTCTTTCCTTTCCGTTTCTTGCAACGGCTCGTGTGTGGTGGCTTTTTGTACTATTTGATTGGCTAGAAACTTAAATTTATATTAATACTTTTACGGCCAAAAATGGTTAAAAAAAAAGAACGTAAAGCCGACAAACAGTGTTTTTATTTATTAATGCTATGAAAAGAGAACAAAGCGTTTAAATTACAATTTTGGTTATTTACATTGAACTGAAAGGATTTCCTACAATTTAATTGTTATATATTTTTAGTAACGAAAAGATTGCACTGGCGGTAAGCACAAATGAAAATAAAAGCAAAACATTTTCAGGAAATTAAAACTAACTAAGGCCGATATGATTGTATATTAAATTTGCCTTTCCCTTTGTAATTTCTGATCAATGTGAGTTCTGCATTGATTTAATTTTGACTACTTGTGGTTCGTTGTTCCAATAACGCCAAAAAGAAAAAAAAAATTAGTTGAATACAAATGTAAAACTCAACTTGTTTATTCTTAATTGATCGGTACAGAGAAAATTTGAAGACCCATGCGACCTACAGACAGCAAAAGACTATAACTTACTCTTGTCAAAAGTTATTAATCTAGAACATGGAGTGCGCATGTAATCCCGGGTATAATGGACAAAAAACCTTAATTTTCAATCTGCGGAGCCATTAAATAGACAACAAAATTTCTAGTGGCGAGATCAAAGGCGCACTCTAAACCGATGTTTTGAATTCTAATAAAAACCTATATATTATTATTATGTCTTACAGCGCTTATGCCAAAGATATAAAAACGACCAGAAATAATACCTATACCTTTATAATAGCGAGTAGGGATAAGATTCAGAATCATTTAAGCATTTCTTCTTAGTAGCTTATAGTGAAACTTAGCACAAATTAATATTTTCACATATAAATTTACTATGGTCGGTTTGAAGTACAGAGGTCTGTTTTTCCCCACAAAAAAAAAAAAAGTTAGACATTTGACAATTTAGGGTCAATCAGAATGAAGCATTACACGTGGGAGCAACGTTTCTTCATTGTTGAACAATGTTTCAATTTATTCTAAACGGAGGCTGGTCAAGCAATGACTACTGCAGGTGACCAATATCGCGCTATGTTAGCCCAAATCTCTTTGCCTAAATTGGACGATATTGTGAGGAACGACATGTAGTTTCAGTAAAACGATGTCACACGCCATACATTCTGTGAAACAATTCAATTACTCCGTTAGGCATTCTCTGATCACGTTTCGGTGATCAGAATTCCGTTAGAGGAGGCAGCAAAGCCGTGCACACCATTTGCCCGATATGGTCTATCCCAGGTACATTACGATTTAATAAAAAAATTACTATTAGAAAAACACGTAATTCTCTTTTCTATTTAATTCAATCCTTGCGTAAATTTTGGAACATCCTTTATATGTTATTCCATATACATTAGAATTAAAACTTAAGTTTGGAAGGTATGTGTGAACGAAATTATTAAACTCTACCTACGTTTTAACATAAAACACAGTAAGATAGTGCTTGCATTACCCTACTTGTGTCCGGGATAATAAAATATTATAGAAATATTTTCTCTTAAGGGATTACGAAAAGATTCTTAAATCCTTTATAATCGTCCACTTAACAATATTCTGCAAATATATCTGATGCATTCCATTAGGTTTGTTTGCCGAGCCTAGCCATGGAAGCATATAAATACTTTTACATATGTTCACAAGCATATGTTAAATGTCTGATGGGCTGATGCTAAATGAAATCCCACGCAACCAAACAGAATTTCAGTTCTCAACAATTTCGCATGTCGACCAATGGCAAATCCGCAATTGCATAATTACGGTTTTTCGCAGGTATTTGCAAATGAGAATTCACTGGAGTATAATTATTTTACGAAACCAGCAAACACATAATAGTGTGCAAACAAATGCACCACTTTTTCCGCTCTTTTCCTGTATCCCGTACCCAGCAATGATGAACATTTTGGAGTTAGTGAATAATAATTTCCTTATTATCGCTTTTCTATCGAACGCAGAGTGCAGTATAGATGTGGGTTAATAAAAACAAAATTTGGTATTTTTTCCCTTCAAATACAATGGAAATAAATATTGATAGGTTCTAACAGAGAATGAGTTTGGTCATGCCCCTTATACCAATATATCTTTGCCTTGAGCCGTCTATGTGTACAACATTCAACATTGAAGAAAACAAAATTGGATTTGGAAAATTTGGAACTTTCCATAGATATCTTTGATTCAAGTAAGTGAAAGTTTAAAAATGGTCTCACAACTCCATAAAAGTGTCTGCAAGGTATTTACCTGCAAACTTTTGTGTCTGCGTCTGCGGCAAATAAATAAAAAAGTTGCTTTCGTTGTTAGATTATAGTCTAATGTTTCCCGCTACTTCGTAGAAAGCTTAATTATAACAATTTTTACACAGCTATAACTTAATTTACATAATCGTGTGTATTAAATGCTGTTTAAGTGTTTCAGAGACGTAGGCAATTAATCGAAATTTCAACATTATTATCACATCATTAACTTTTACGTGCTTTTCATGATAAACTGTCTTTTCTCGCTTTCTTTATTTAGCTCTAAAGGTTGAAAATGTATTGAATTCAATGATGCATTTGTAATGCTCAAGTAACCGCAAGTACACCTTTGTGTATTTATTTACTGTATAATTTTTCGGTTTGAGTTGCTCTTCCTCCCCGTAGAGGGTCGCTGGTCAACTTGCTTTCTTTTCCGACTAAGGTGTAGGATAGTTTTAAATAAAATAATCCCAGAAGTTATTTTTTTGGTAGATATTGCTGCGTTTCCATTAAGAAAAACGACAGCCCTTCTGATAATTAAGAAGCAAAAAAGGTTACTCTCCTGCCCTTAGATTGCAATTTCGGCAACTTCACTCACTTTACTTCTTCATTATCGCTCTGGCGATGAGTGACCTTTCAGCCATTTGAATATCCGATGATTCCCCTAAAATATTTATTTCTCCTTTTCGTGGATAGCACTGGGTTGATGAATAACAGAAATGGCGATTCTTAACATGAAAGTGCGATTTTCTCATCTATGTCCAGCCTAAGCTTTATATAACGTTTTTGGGGAAATTACCCCTAACCATCATTGACAATATTGACACAGCCGGCTAAAATGTAAAGATTTTGGATAGTTATTGCCAATCAGTCTGCCGGTCTGTTGAAGAGGCCTGCATGATTTGCTAGTGTGTTAGTCATACAATTCTTGCCATGTCCTCTTAAAACATTGGTAAACATATGTGGACATTCATACTATGTTTTGGATAATATTCGGATAATATTTCATCGCAAAGTGTTGGCTCAAAATACCGATTCAGATCATTTACGGTTTCTCAACACTTAAAAGGGATTTCGATCGGTATAGAGCTGTTGCGAAATTCACATTATACGACAATTTAAGGAGGTCTTCGATAGTAGTAGACATACATGTATATATACAGGTATACATAATAGACATAAGACTACTTGAAACTGCATATTTGACTTCATAACTCTTTATTTAATTAATGTTACAACGAATCACTCCTAGTTCATAGTATAATGGTGCTACGCAAATGCACTTGTACTTGAAGCAAGTCTACATGGAAGGGATTCAAGAATCGAATAGCTCTTATACTTAGCCAATCTATGTAATAATTCAATTTTGTATAGCTGTGTTAATGATACCGAGTTTTTACCTTACGGATTAAGCAATGTATACATGAGAAGCATGTGTTTGTTTGCATTTTTTACGAAAATGAATTCAGATTAAAAATACAAATTCCGTATGAAAGCTATGTCGCTTTTGTCGAGTTCTACATGTAGAGTATGATATGCTTTGAGGCCTTGGATCAATATTGCTAACCATAAAAGTTGGCATTCGACATAACATAAGTCAATAAGTCATAAGCCAATGCGATACCGTTCTGCACAGTGTGCGGCTATAGTCTTAGAAATGAGTTGAATCTAAATTACATAGATTTAAACGAACATGTTTTAGGTTACTTGGCAATAGTCGCGCGGAAACCTATCGTAAGGTGATTTGTTATTCTGTTGACATATCGCAGCAGATATGCTATTTAATTCTTTCATCAAATTGTAAATATCGTTGTTTCATTCATGTCCAGCCGGCAAAGAAGGGGAAAAGAGAATAATTATATTGAAAGTTTTCAGCTTCCCCTTCTGGGTACGTATGGTATTGTGTTCGTGAAGAATAAACACATCTTATGTAATGTTTTTTTTTCTCCCGACTTTGAACTTAAATTAAAATTCATTCAAAAAGTTGTGTTGTGTGCAGATTTTTTTTTTTTTTTTGTTTCTCTGTCATTTCTGTTATTGTTAATTTACTACGTGTTTATTGATTACAATGGTAACATATTGTGTGGTTAATATTCATGAAATCAATTTCTTTTGCATATTTTTATCGAAGAAAGAGACAAACCAAAGACGAAATAAAAGAAAAAAAAAAAACATTTTAAAAAACCAAACAAATGAAATAAGGCAAAGAAGAAAGCAAACAGAATTACTCAACATCCAATTAACGCCGAAAGAAAAGAAAGGTTAAACTACTGCATTCACATGCAAATGTTTAAAAATCTTATCAGGGCTAAGATAGGGGAACCAATGAAATAAAATAAAATAATATAAAAAAACGAATTCGGTTAAAGAAGCAACATTCGATGTTTGTGTTGACGATTGATTAAACAAGTAAAGGAAAAATAAAACTCGAGAAAATATAATCAAAATAAATATCGAACAGAAAGTTTGGCATAATTGAAGCGAACGAATTGACTGTGTCTTTTATTGTTTTTTTATATTTTACTTTTTTATTTTTTTATTTTTTAATTTTTTTTTTTTTTTTTAATTCACTATGATGATCGAGAAACACTCGAATTTGAACTGCCAAGCGGGAAAGTGGACGAAACGGCATAAAAACTTTGAAAAAAAAAGCAAATAAACAGTAGTGCGTAACTAAACTCAAATCATTTGATTGAAAATTTATACAAAAAATTTCACTTTCGACAAAACCAAATTAACGATATTAACGAAATTCATATAATAATTTTTTATAAAATCATTAATAGAAACAGTAGTGAAATGCATTTGAGAAAAGTACTTAGCAATAAAAAAATTTTATTTTGCTTTTTATTAATAAATTGTTTAATAAAATTTACTAAATAAAAAAAAAAAGATGACGAAGAGGACGACAGCAATGAAGAAGAAACGCAAGAAGAAAAAGCTGAGAGAAAAAGTATAACCGAAGATTCGAATTTATCAGTGGTAAGTTAAGGTAAATATCTAACCAATCGGTGGAGTTTTAAGAGTTTTAACTATAACTGTTGTTCACAGTAAAAGGTTTTTAACAATAAGTTTCTAATACATCCGCTATAGCATTTTGTATAGATCTCGAAAGCAGTAAAGTGTCCAAAACAGACTCAAGAAATAAATAAATGTATGACAAAATATATTCGTTTTCGATCAACTCAATATTCCCAGTTGATGAACAAAGTCCGTCTATCTGTCCACTTATATATCTTTTTTATCGTAATTTTACGATATTTGTACAACTTGCCTTGTCATGCTGGCGGTAGAGTTTGCCACTCCGGTGCATGCAAAGCCTTTATATGTTTATATTATATGTAGAAATCAAGTTTCTTTCTTCCAGCGAAATCTCTCGTTTTCAACTTTTCGAGTAACAAACTTTTTTAAATGAATTCATGTTCAAATTTCGATCCATTCATTGAAACGCAGTATTTGTTGTCCATATGGACGACATATGTTTACTTTTCCTTTTGTTAATTTTACTTTCCCATAGCAAACAACAATCGCTGTCGGTTCAATGATATTCTAAAATAATGGACGCTATCAACAGTATCCAATTGTTTTTATTAGTTGTTGCCGATATTGACGATCGCTTTAATTCATTCATAGCCAGCCGCAGGGCAAGTGGCCTTAGTCAGATCTGTAAGAAAAAGTTTATCTACATTTAACAGAAGGAATGATTTTAAAATCAAGAAATTAAAGAGTTGTCTTATGCACGATCCGATCGAATCCACTCTTAGTCGCTTTTGTTCTTGTTTGCAAACATGACAGTGCTTGAGTGTCCATAAAATGTTTCCTTTGTAGATTGCACACAAAAATTTATAGACAGCTGTAAGACAGACAGTCGGACAAACAGACTTAGATCGGTTCGGAAAACGATTCCAATTTATTTGGTATAATAGAACTTCAACTCAACCTTTGGCTCAAATGATTTTCGATATAAAAATGCGACGTTTACGATATGAGAGGAACTGTGTTAGACATGGAAAAAATTCTGCTAATTTTCCGCTTTTGTATGTCTTAAATGTGTGTGTAATCACAAAAACCATAATGCTTAGGTGCAACTCGTCAACCTACAAGTGCCTCTGAAGGCCACTCTAAGACTTGTGTGTAACTTCCTTCTCTTTTCATAGCTTCAACATAGTTTACAACAAAACTTTCAACAGTTTTCACCTGCTTATGAAAGTTTATAATCAAAGCTTGCAGTCAAGTCCTTTAACACATAAGATTTGTCGCGTTGACGATAGCGTTTTAAGTTAAAGTTAAAAGACATATTGACTTTAAAATTTACGATCTTACTCTCAACTCACTTTGTATAAATTTTTCGCTTTATTACTGGGAAAATATTTCATATTTGCATTATTATACATTAACATTAATTAACTTTCTCAACATCATCAATCCACTTACCTCCTGTATCTTCGTTATACAAAAGCATATTTTTCTAATTTACATAAAATTTTTACATAATTCTTATTACATGTATTTGTATGTATTTTCGTAAACTTTTGTTCGTCTCATTTTGTATACAACAGGATAAATTAATTGCTAAATACGGTTACCCGGCAGAAGTGCATCATGTCACTACCGAAGATGGTTATATATTAACAATGCATCGTATACGTAAAGTTGGCGCGCAACCGTTCCTTTTGCAGCACGGTCTCGTTGACAGTTCAGCCGGCTATGTTATTATGGGACCGAACATAAGTCTGGGTAAGTTTTCCTTTCATTGTTATTTATTTTATATACAGCATGTTACAATTAATGAATTCTTTCAACGTTCGTTATAAACATCGTTAATATAAGTCCTAAGAAAGAGTGTGGCAAACAAAAAAAATATATATTAATTTGGTTTGAGCAGATTCTTTTTGCACCCACAATCATTCACGTTAATAATGGTATAGTTATACTGTAGATTCATCACTGCTCTTCCGAAGCTATGATTTACATTGACCGGCAATAGAGGGACCAATCAAAAATTCACGCTTCTCTGCATGCAACGTTAAACATTCGTAACACTTCGCAAACATTGACGAATCTTGGGATCCTTTTCGGAATTTTAAACGGAAAAGGAATTTTTATAATTTCTTTTCTCATCTTCATCTTTCTCTGGCCATACTGACCTGATATTATGAATTTTTAGCTTATCTTCTAGCCGACCACAATTACGACATATGGCTGGGCAATGCTCGGGGCAATCGTTACTCGCGTAATCATACATTCTTAGATCCAGAAGGTGAAAAATTCTGGGAGTTTAGTTGGCATGAAATTGGTGTGTACGATTTACCCGCCATGATTGATTATATACTTAAGATAACCCGTTACAAAAGAATACAATACATCGGGCATTCGCAGGTAAAAAGATATACATTTTCTTTATTAATTGAAATAAAAATACAATTTATAAAGGGATTAATACATATTTAGGGTTGTACAACTTTCTTTGTTATGTGCTCTATGAAACCGGAATATAACAAAAAAGTAATAATGATGCAAGCCATGGCACCGGCAGTTTATGCCAGCGAAACCGAAGATCACCCGTACATAAGAGCAATGAGTTTGTACTTTAATGTAAGTAAGATTTTGAAAGATTTTAAAATGTTGACACGACGTGGGCAGAATACAAGCGTTAATAAACTACGAACTTCACTAGCACTCAGCAGGCCCCGAACCAGGCAGAGTCAACTAGATGATAGAATGATCTCACTGTTCTTAAGTTTTTGTAAATAGAATGTAAACTCTATTCGACACACAAACTACAGATATTAATCAATTCATCATCAGCTTCGAAGAGTTGACAAAATCTAGCCTTAATGTCATCTATGCATCTCGTTGCCAAGCGCTGAAAATTTTGCTAAAGCAAGAAAGTATTTTTCAGGACATAAATTATGCTTGAAGGGATGTTAAAATATTGAGATTTATCAAAAGATTTTTAGAGACATTAAAAGCCCACCATGCCCATTTTCAAATTTGATTGATATGTGGAACTGAAGTAGTAACAATTTAAAAGATCCAAGTTGCTCTTAAAAGTTTTCGAATTTCTTGAAAGAGGTCAGGAACAAAAAGGCCTGAAATCTCAACTAATCCTGTGCAAATTCTATAGCAGTTTTTGTTGCCCTCTATATAAAATTCTCTATAAAAATGCGACTCTGTATATGATTGTAGCAATTCTACATAGAATTATTTCAATTTTATGTAACTTGTATGCAGGATTGTAAGACCAACAAAAACAACCACATCAATGTAAACAAACAATATGTGTGTGCCCAGTATTACAAAGGCGAGTCATAGAGCCAACTTGTTTAAATGAAAAAAAAAAAAACGGATATTTACATTAGTAATCCATTTAGTAAATTTAATTTTATTTTTCTAATTAACTTCATATACCCTATCTCACTTAGGCATGCATGTCACTTCATTTGTCCATAAGTCCATCTGGTCGCCTATGTAATCTCTGTTTTAAGCATTCTCCCGGCCCCCACATTGATTTCAAATTTGATATTGGAAGCAAGCTGGTATGGAAAATACTACTGGACTACTGGACAAGCGTGCAGTGTAACGTAACTCGAAAATATCCCTGGCTTCTTGCTTTTCTGCTCTACAGATGCCCAACATAAATTTCTGCACGCTTTCCATAAGAATAAAAATTCGGTCACGCCCATCTAATATTATAGATCAACAAAATTTAGTTGTTGTTTTCTTTTTTTTTGCTTTTTTGCAAGATAGAGACGGAGAATGCAAAGTATTCGGTCATTGACAAGCATAAGCTTCTTCCTTGCTTTAGTTTGGAACCTAAACCGAAGTCAACTTAGAAATGCTACATTGGTAGCAATTCGATATGGAATTCTTTAACTGCATTCTTCGTAATTTCTTCAATTTTCCTTATCATAGTTCTACGTAGAATGTGACAAAAGCATCAATCAGTCCGATATCAATCAAGTAACAGAACAAGGCACGCCACTGCCAAATTTATGATAATTGTTTCCCTTTCAACTTCTTCTTAGTGCGCACAGTTTTGCCTAATACCTCTTGGGAGATGCGAGAGATTTTTATTGCACTTTCAAGCTAGAAAAAAATTTCCCTTTCCGAAGTAATCTCTCTAATAAACATTGTATTTGTAGTCGTTAGTGGGGAGCGCCATAACTGAAATGTTTAATGGTGAATTTCGTTTCCTCTGCGGCATGACCGAAGAAACCGAAAGGCTATGCATTGAAGCCGTCTTCGCTATAGTGGGACGTAATTGGAAGGAATTTAATCGAGTAAGTACAAGATTTTAATCCTTTTTTGTTTGATTTCCGAATCTGATCTGAAACTTTCAATTACTTTAGAAAATGTTTCCAGTTATCCTTGGACATTATCCGGCCGGAGTAGCGGCAAAACAAGTTAAACATTTTATACAAATAATCAAATCTGGACGTTTTGCTCCATACAGTTATAGTAATAGTAAGAATTATGCTTTATACAAAGAACGTGAACCGCCAGCATATAATCTATCACTGATAACGGTACCAACCTATGTATATTACTCTACAAATGATCTCTTATGCCATCCCTCCGATGTAGAGGATATGTATAAAGATTTGGGACGACCAATAGGCAAATACTTGGTGCCTATGAAAGAATTCAATCATATGGATTTTTTGTGGGCTTTAAATGTAAGACGTTTAGTTTATAGTAAAATGTTACAAGTCTTAAGTAAAACTAAGCATCACAAAGGTAATGCAGCTGCTTATATACAGTAAACACTTGATACAAAATTGTTTACTATAGGATTTAAATTTTCCTTTTATTTATTATACTCATACAAATAATGACATTATTTTGTAATAAACTGCTGAAGAGACTCTGCTAAAGAAGAAGAATTTCGTAAATTCTATTAATTTACCTTCTTTGAAGGCTGTTTATTTTTCAAATTTTTTTTTTTTTTTTTTTTTTGCAAATCTACTTATATACTTTTCGTAAGTTCGTAAGTCCATAAAAGATTGCTGATAATAATTTTTTTTTTTTATTTTTTTTTTTTTTTGGAAGAATCTAAATTTTAATAAGAAGTTAGAAAGCTGTCGTCGAATGTGTAAAGAAGCTGGGTATATATGGCGGATCATATAAATGAAAGAAATATATAAGATCGCTTAAGACTAACTTTTGGAGAAATTCTACTTTTTTTTTGGTTTTTTTTTTTTTTTATATGGATTTAGGTGTGCAAAGCTAATATGCACCCCAGACAAACTCGTGATAACAAATCCCGGGTGTCGCTTTGAGTTTTACAAATGAAAATAAACAAGCTCGCAAAGTAATATTGTTGTTGTTGTGTTGTTGCTAGTACTCTTGTTGGCGAACGCCATGGAACCAATACTATCGCTTGAGCAAAATACGTAGTACCTATTAGACTAGAGTGACATAAAAAATGTAAATTTTTTTTCTTTATATTCTCCTTCGCTTGTGGTATAAGGAAATATAAAGTTTGTGCCGATGTATGGTACTGTATCTGTTCATTTTTCTGGCTGTCTCTCTGTCCTGTTTTTTGCCTTCAACAGGTCGTAAGTTTTCAAATATTTTGATGAAATTTGGTAAACCGATTTATTTTGAGCCAAAGACGATCGGACAACTTTTTTTGAACATTCCTCGTATAAAGCTTTACTTTGATAGATAGTTATATGAATAAGTGCATTAAGTGAAGTGATGTAGGGAATTTAATGGCGGACCTTTTCCCAGTATAGCGCTTTCACTTATTTTAGAATAACTAGGAATATTTTGGCAAACAAACTCGCAAAAAGTCGAGAAATTTCAAAATTCATATGCTTTTTGTAATAGTTACGAAAATTGCGTCGAATTTCAACGCATCTCTTCCCCACGTTCGATATTTTGAGTTGAAATAAAGATAAACGCCAGTCCCAATGGATATATGCCATTTTTAGTAAATATAGTAATTAGTATATGGCATATAGAAAATATGATTCTAACTGCTAGATCCCCAGATACCTATTCGACAAGTTCTTCTTCCATTTTTGGTAAATTATACCTTAACTTTTGCAAGCGTAGGATAAATTACAAACATTTGCAAAGACTAAGAGTACGTTTTTCTTGTGTTTGTGATAACAAGCCACCAAGCTTTACGGAGAGGAATGAAAATTTCGTAATAGTACAAACTAAACTCTTAGTGAATACAAAACTGTAGGAAACAAATTTGCATTTGAAAATGTTGTTGAACAGAATATTGGTGTCAGTACAACTGATGCCATTACAACGCACTACACATTGATGATTGTGTGTGTGTGTGATAATAATAATAACAAAAACAACATTTGAATTCAACAAGAAATTGCAAAATGTCATTTGCAATCGTCTTCATCTGGGTTATGTTTTCATCTTTTCGAACTTTAACCCACCCATTCTCCACTAAGAGGCTTACTTATATACAATACAAGCAACTAAAGAATCTTTATGGTCTTCACTTCTTCTACTCCGCAGCGTACGCAGTCAGGAAACGGCAAACAAACAGAATGCCAAAATTTATATTCTTCTCTTCGTTCGTTAACTTTTTTGAACCGAACGCAGTGAAATTATTTATATTTCAACACTTTTGCATCTAAACTAAGGCACTTTATGCCTTATCATCACATTGTTGTCAACATCTCAAAGTAATCATCATCAACAGCAACTTGATTTTCTACTTACCAGTTTATTTTATGCTTGTCCTAGGCAAACAAACAAATGCACCAACTCTTTCTTGACTTTATGGAAAATTTCAAAGTTTTTTACTCAAAGTACTTTACTCAAAAATTTGTTCCCTTTTTTCATTTTTTTTTTCTCTTTTTTCTCGTTTTTCTTTTCTTTTTTTTTTTTTGTAAGAAAAGTCTTGTTTTTCTGTTATTTCTTTGCTTACTCGTTTTCCGAACTTTAGTTCATTAAATTTTCCATCACATTTATTGAAATGAGATTTCTTCTACGAAATATTGATTCCTTACTTTATGCTAGACTTGATTTTAATTTATTTAAAAATTCAAGTGTTGATTTCTTTAATAAAAACTAAAAAAAAAAAAAAAAAAAAACAAGTATGTGAAATTATGAAAAACAAAACAAACAACATAACATCCATTAAAATAGTTTAAGATTATCCTGCAGAGAACATGCATCCAAAAAGAGAGAGCGAGCAAGAGAGAGAGAGAGAGATAGAAAGAGTTACTAACTTTTGTTTTAAATTAATTTTCTAATACTCTCAATAACTCTGCTTAATTCAATTCAATTCAATTCGCTGCTCTAAAGAAAACAAAAAGAAACTTTTTTACTAACTATTATGGAGAGAATATTAACTCGGCTGCACATTAATCATTTATAGAATACAATGTATAATATATAGTATGGATATATACATATACACGAGCACGGTTCAAGATTAAAAAGTGTATTCAGTGTTTGAAGAAAACTTTTATTACATTTTTATATATATATTGTTTTTGCACTTTTATGTAAAATAAAAATAAAACGAACATATGCTGCATGTTCACTACGCTTTCATATAAGTTTACGCATGAGTTGCTCTAAATGCTTGCACACACATAGATCTACACATGTGTATGTATACAATATATTCCGCAAACAGAATATCATGTTTAACTATATGTTATGCTATTGTTATTTGTATTCCATATGAGCAGATGTGCATATGTAATATGTGTACGAGTACGTGTTCCTGTATTCTGCGTTTAGTGTTAATAAATCAAGTACAATTAAGTCATCAATAATAAGCTGCTTCGTGTAGCAGTTTACTAGACTGAACAGTTTGTGGAAGCAGTTGCGTTCGTGTTTCCTAAACTTATACATACAATTCAGATTGTCTTTTCTTTTTTTTTTTTTTTTCTCTGCAAGTTACGGAAAACAAAAATAACAATAATAATATTCAGACGATTTTAGTCGATCCAAAGTAAATATTTCAATACTCAACAGCTTTTGGTTGCTACTTCTTAGTGAATTTTATAAGGTTGGCTAAGAATTTTTTCAAACAAACACGCAATATAGATCTCAGTGGCTTTTCATGGTTTATGGTATCAATAAAAGTAGTAGTGCTGTTTATTAGCAGTCGAGGAAAAATTCCGCTAGCGATTTCTTGATATCGCGTAGTATATGCAGGCGTTACTGTGTCCAAAAAATCAGATCAATTTAATTTTTTCCTTTTTTAATTCAATTCCAGCCTCCTTTGAAGAATAATTTAATGTAAACGACGCATAAGACCCGTATAATGCTCCTTGTTAACAACTTGGCCTGGCGTAAGGAATTCATAGTGCACAACACCGCGATAATCGAAGAAGACTCACCTTGAGTTTTTAACGACTTTGGCGCGATTTTTTCCGTCTCAGTTGAGTATGCGCTCGATTGATCGATTTTTGCCGGGTTGTATGCGTAGATCCAAATCTCAGCTCATTTCATTTTATATACGAAATTTAATGCAACTTCTTTGCTCAACGAAATCGCAAAACATAGTTTTCTTCTCGCACAAAATCAAGCGTTTATGATGTGAAATTTTGACACAAGCGTCTGTCGCAATGCTACCAATTTACAAAAAAAAAGTATTTCCGATGTTCGATATATCAGCTGAGTTTGAGTTGAATAGTGATCTTATGTTTGCACCCAACATGATTTCGTTTTATCGTTTATTTGGCATTGAAGAATTCTAAATTTTATGTTTACCAGTAATTTCAGTGACCCGCAGTACAAGGGACGTTCCCACGTCACTTTTTACACATTAGTATACTCGTCGCCATCGAGATCACTTAATTGATGATATCCAATACGATGAGTTGTTTTTAGATAGGAGCACGGGGTGGTGTTAAGAAATAACAGAGGGCATATAAATAATGAGTAAGTAGAAGGGCTTGCGGATGGATGTTCACCAATTAGGAAGTCCAGCCTTCGACAATATTTATGTAAAAGCAAGCGGCGTTAACATTAACTGCGATGATGAAACAGATACATCGAAAAAGTCTGTAACGAAGCAAAGGGAAGAACGGACGCACGCGCATTTTTCACGATATGCAATATAAGCAGGTATCTAGCAAAAAAGTACTCTGTGGAAAATATTTAACGTTAACCACTCAGCGAAACTTTATCTCAGACAGTCTGTACGAAACTTCTATATAAGGCAAAAGTTAAAGGGCGAAAAAACCGCAAAACCTTAGGGATGAAGTTAGTTTTACAACATGAATGGATGAAATACCAAATACTCTTACCAATGTAAACTATACGTAGTGGACTATTACGAAAATAAATAAAAATAAAGTGGGAAGGTAATTTTTGATTAGTTCATAGGATATTTTACAACGAATAATTTATCGTGAGCGAGCGGCAAAGGATATCCTAAAAACCGAATAAAAAAATTATTTTTCGATAAAACTAAATGCAAATTTATTTTCATTCACTGAGTCTGTATGGACAATGTGTTGACGATGAATGCAATTATTGGAGCTAGTAAAGGTAGACCTGTAAAATAGTCTAAGTAGATTGTTTACGAGAGCATTGTAGTCATTTAGCGGCATCTTTTCTTTATAACGTTTAATTTTTATCTTTAAAAATATATATCATAGGTTTTTCTCTTTATATTAAAAAGAAAAGAAAAGAAGAACACTATAAATACCAACGACACTTTATCAGGGGAAGGCACCTGAACGTCCACGTTTTTGATACACTTTCAGCTTTCTCTCCTCTGTTTTTAATTTAATTCTAATTTTCACAATTAATGTAAACTTAAAGGCGTAGAATTGT